TTGCTCCTGATTTGTAACTTCTCTTGATTTTTGGTAATAGAAATGGAATTGCTTCCTCCCTTGCAGTCATTATTTGATTCCATTAACATTAAGTTAGTTCTTCTATACTCACTGTGGTACTGTGAGGTGAGTTTAGTCCCTCTCCTCCTCCTCAGACTAAAAATTTCATCCCGATACAGCTGCAGATAGCCCACCAGCTTGTCTGCCTAAAGCATTCTTCAACTGATGCATCTGTTATTTCCATTTTATGAAGGAAATGAGACTCAGTCATCCTTTTTCTGCTTGTTCCAGTGCCCATTTGTTGTTTCATCCTTACTGCAACTCACCTATTGGCCATTGGTTTTCAATATTCTCTTCTTCATGCAATTAAGGGAACTGCTGATGTCTGGTATATTCACCTGGTACAATACTAGAGTAAGCAGCAAAAAATTAATTGATCAATTGTTTGATAAGCTCAGGCATCTTGAGCTCTTTAAATCTCTATTCTGCCATTTTCTCCAACCATCTAGCCACAGTTCATCAAAGCTGTTTTACCTAGCTGCTGATTTACATATTACTCCAGTGTTGGTTTCACCCACACACAGGCAGAGGTAAAATCACTCTCTTATTCTTACCTGTTACTTCCTAACTCCTATCTGCTGCAAATCCAAGGATTTGTGATTACTTCAGCAATCTTTACTGACGTATCACACCTATAGCCTATATTGAATTCCTCATACTCTTTGGCATCATCCATCTATTTTCAGAAGCTGTGAGTATAAACAAAGAAAGCATCATTTTCCCAGTTTTCAGATGGAGAATTTAAAGCACAGAGTGGTGAAGTGACCAGCTTGAGGTTGACTGATGGTTAAATGGCTGAGCTGGCTTATGATCACATACTGGACACTCCTGGAAGATTCATTTAATCTAACTTTAAATAGTTGCAATGCCTATAGATGTGGACTAGTCATTGGGCTCCTCAATAGTCAACAGAGAGAAGCAGGCACTTTTAGGCTGTAATTTATCTGACTTACCTGAAACATGTATTTTTGAATGGGGTGAATATCACATAAGTCTTAATTTCTTCTAAAGGGAGCCTTAAATGATTGTTTCAGATGCAGTCATCCATATTGAATCAGGTCTGAATTCCACCTAATCACACTTGCAGAAATGACTACTAACTATGCAAAGTCAGTATTTGGAGAGGTTCAGAGGTAGTCAAAGGCAGGGCAAGTTGACAAACCTTTTCATAATGTGGCAGAAGGGGAAATCCAGATAACTCTGTCAAGGAGTTCTTGATTAGCTTCTCATATCTGGGTCACAAAGCCTCAAGATGACCAATTCAGCAGGTTTATGTAAACAGTTACCATCTACTAGATCATTATTAGTGATTAATGAATTATAAAAGGATCATAAGAGGCCATAATGCAGTGGTGCTAAATTTAAAAAATACCTAAACAACTTATGTGGTTTCTGAAAAGTTGATAAATGTTTTGTAATCACTTTTGGAAGTAGTAGATTGTATTTATGTTTACCCTCAACTTTTTTAATAGCTCGCACACTATTAAAAAGTGTAAAAAAATCACAGAATAACACCAGTTCTGGACCTGTAGAGTTCAGTTTAATCTTGTGTGAAAAAGACTGCAAACTACAGATGATCACTGAGTGGACACCTGTTTTGAGCTGTTCCCTTTATATCACTCGGAACATGTCCAGCCTCAGTTACAGCAAGGGAGAAAAAGTCACCTGTAGAGCTTTATTCCCTTGTTTACATTATCATCAAATAATTTTTACCTTCCAAGTACCTGTTCCCCTCCTTTGACTCTAACAGTACACAAGGCAACTAGCTCAGTATGTGACAGAGATCAAAGGTTAGATTACATCTAAATCTAAAATTTAGGTTAAATCCTATCCAGGCTGTATTTCTAACACAGGTATCTTTCTTGTTATTAACGGAGAGGACAGAGATTAAAAGATGTAACTCTGTTCCCACTGTAGTTAGAACTTCTAAGCCAGGATGGCTGAGTGTGAGAAACATCCTAACGCTAGAAAAAAAAAATCAGAAGGATTTCTTTTTGATCAGTTTTTTTGTTTCTACTTTCTTCTTGTTTTATCTCTGAGGGCTTTCTTACCAAGATTTTAAGAGCCTGTTTCTCAGTTAAGAGCTGGATAACATGAAGAGATTTTACAGAACCTTTACTAAGTTATCGAGGATCTTTATCGCTGAATGATTAGGTCCTTAGTACCATTTTGTGTGCAAAATTCTCTTCAGTTTAAAAAGGGACTTTTAAAAATTATTGTATTAAAAAATATGTACTTAGAAATATATTACTGATGATCAAAAAAATAATTCATTCATATCCTGCAGTCATTCATTCCTTTGTTCTTCCAGAATGTTTACCTTGTTATCATTAGCTTTGCGTACAGCTTGGAGCACATCTTTAAACCACTCACAGCTTTCTCCCTAAATCACTTCAAACCTATCATTCATTCTGTCTCCCCTCCCCTTTCATGGTTATTTGGATGCCCTCTTGAAAGAAAATTATGTTTTCTTAGATATAAATTACATGTGTTTACACTGAGCACAAAGTCAATATTTATTTGTTTTCTTTATCCCTTAACTGATTTAAGCACTTGGCACAATTTGTGAAGGAGTCTTCCGAATGACATAATAGATCATTTTAATTACTTTGCTGTTGTCTTTCAGATGTCTCATGCAGCCACTAGTGCCTTTTGTCGTTCTATTAAGCTGCAGTGTGAGCTTTATCCCTCCAGAGAAGTCGCTATCTGCTTGGACCCCTACTGTGGACTTGGGTTTGTCCTCTGGTGCCTCTGCAGGTGAGGTTTCTCTTCAGCCTTTTGAAATACCATTTCCATTGTACTATAACACAACAAACAGGATGAAGTGAGTGATAAAAGGATGGGAAGAACAGACAATACCTCTGAGACTGACATAGGGAATTGAATTTGCTGGAAGCTATATGGAGAGTGATGTACGGAGAATACGCTTTGTTTGAGTGGGGCACGGCCACAGGTATTTAGACTTACGAGAGCAGAGCATCAACACAGCTGCTCATGGACCTCCTGCTGTTTTACTGCTGTCTCTGCAGAGTCTGGCTAGTTTTATTTGATGAAGGCAGCGCTCTACCAATATTACCCGAAGGAATTGGTTTCCTGGTGTCCTCTCCTTCATTCTCTAATCTGAAAGCACGAGCAGATATCAAACATTTCCTCATTTGTGGGGTGTGACTTTTGCAGAGACATGGAAGTCTGTTTTCTTGCAGAAGGATAATTCTGTGGCGGTAGCAAAGCTATCAGAAAAAAACATTTCTAGTGAAATGTGAATCAGCATTTTTGGTTAATAAGTTTAGAAATTCAACAATTCTGTCAGTCTCTATACTCCAGAGAAGTTAGAGTTCAGCACTGAAAGCAGTTTCATCGATTTTTTTCTTAAGTTAGATGGGTTGATGCTGAAGCAAAGCAAAGAGCTAGGGGAGTGTTAATGGAGCACATTTTTACGAGGACATCTTAGAGTCACAATAGTTTGACATCTTTGCTTCCTCCATAGAAAATTCTGTGGTGTTAGCAGTAGCAGTACTGCTGTTTTTAGTTACTAAAATGAAGATAATCCAGGGCATTAAAAATACTCTGGATAAACTCTTTACCAATTTACTAAATACCTGAAGAAAGCATTATTTGATAACAACTGCAACAATTTGTTTTCAGCAAGTATTGTTTATTTAAAAGGAGGCTATCGGCCTGTTTTGTTGCCCTTTTAAAATATTTGTTATTAAATATTAAATGGGACAAAGATTAACGGTATTGTCTTATTCCTTCTTGATCAGTCTTTCTTGATTTAAACTATACTTGATCTAATATTATTTCAGATTTTACATAGGGATGAGAGATTTGTTTTGAAAATCATTTGTTTTCAAAATCTTATTTCCCCAACACTAAAATAAAAATGTTGAGGCTGCAAAAAAACTCAGAAAACCTTTCAGAAATTTTGAGATTTTAATTAAATCACTCTGTTTGAGTTAAATTTTTAAAATTTTTATGTTTAAGTCAGTTGAATATTTCTTACATAGACTTATGTGTTCCAGCATGCCCTCTTGTCAGCTCTGTTAGGCCTTCAGTCTGCTGGGGGCTAAGCCAAATCTGCCGTGGTGCATTCAGTGAGACCGGGGAGGACTGTCGAGCACCGCAGGAGAGTTCAGCTATGGAGTGTATTACTGTATGGGGTGTTGTTGGGACATGGAGCATTCAAGAATAACTTTGATGCAACAATCATGATAGAGCCGTAAAATACAGATAAATGTTGACCTGTCCAAAACTCAAGTAATTTGTGATGCCTGAGACTCTTCCTGAATACAGAAGATTTTGTTTCTTCCAGAACCATATTTGCAACAAATAAGCATTTGCTGCCCTTAGGTCCTTCCCAATACTGATAGTATTCAGCCTTTTAGGAGGAGAAGATCGTTTATGACTGGCAAGTGAATAGGCAGCAAGCCTTTGGGAGAAAGCAATCAAGGTCTGTGCCCCTCTCTAGCTTATAGAACAGAAATTTTTTTACCATTTTCAAAGAAGAGATAGGAAATGAGAGAGTTGAAAGAACTGAGATCAGGCCACTAACACTCATCTTATGAACCATCGTGTCAATCTCTTCTTTGCCACTGATCTCCTGTTCCTGTAAAACCAGAAAAATTGCAGGCTGCTTGAATTGCGACTGTCATTTAGAGAAAGCTGACATCAGATACAGCTTCATTAATTCCACTTATAAACTTAATTTCCATTTCATTACTATTTTAGAAATGAGTATTATTTGATGTGATAGCAAAAAAAATACATCCTGGAGGTTATTAGACTCTTACCGTTCATGACTTAAAACTTTGCATTTTACTCTTTATAGTTGAGCATACCCAAATCCTCCCCAACATTTTACAGCCCAGATTTCTTTCTCAGAGGATTCTACTCTAAAAGTTATGATTGTCTGTCACCACTCCCATTAAATAAATTAATACTTTTAATGGCATATGGAAATGAAGTTAGATCTTCAGGTTTTGATCAGCTAGAGAGTTTTTAGAGTTAAATAGGAACTCTTCATTTTAGGAGCCCAGCAGGAAGAGAAAGCTATCTATCTCCTGTGCTTGATGCAGTTAAAATTACAAGTACATTTTAATCCTTTTATTAACTAGACCAAATGAGCCATTGACTAAGGATTGAAAGAAAAACTAACCTTTTATCCCCGTTGTAGGTGCTTAGATGTTGTGCTGGCCTGCTCCACTGCGGTGCCCTAGAATTCCCCATTCTGTGAGGTCCAAGCTACTTAGGAAAACTGCTGGAGCATGGAGCCAGTCCTTTGGTAAGTTTAGAATATATTGCATAGTTTTGCAAAGTTTTATTTTTTTAAAAATTTATTATTTTATGGCCTAAAGGGTATAAAATAATAAAGAAAAGAAACCTTGCAAAGCAGAGCAATACATTTTAAAAAACCTGGGATCACGTTCTCTCTAAACTGGCTGCATGCTCCGGCAGGGTTTCCTTGGAACACTTGTCACTGAACAGCACGTCCTGGGTGTGGTGGCACTCATGAGCCCCATGTGAGTTCTTGAAGCCCAAGCTTCCTGATTTTAACAGGTTCTTACTAATGACTCAATAAAAGAATACATTTTTTTGTGTGTTTTTCTCTTTAATAATCTCATTTATCTATTCCAAGAGGGGAGCCTACTATTCTGACTTGTATTGCATTACATTTTAAAATGTATTACATTCTTTAAAAGAAAAAAAAAAAGTGTCCTTCAGTGTAAAAAAAATCAATACTAAATCCCATTGTTCAAAAATGCTTCTTGAAATTAAGAAATCTTAAGCATCTTAATGCTGCTCACTGTGGGGTAGAATAGAGCATTCTACAGTTCGTTACCGAGGATTTACTTAATTGATAGTTGCTGAGTGATGCAACAGAATCAGAATTTTTCCTTCCATTTTAGCCCAGCTAAGCCAGCCCATGTTGAAATTCTACTTTTACTACTGGAAGACAGAATTATCCTTGCTGAAATGAAAATTAAGTACATTAATAATTTTAAATAAATTTTATATATATACTCAGAAACTGAGATTGCAATAGTGCAAGTAAGACTTAGACTGGAAAAGAAGAATTTTCCAGTCCACAGTGCCCACATAATAAATAGCATGAATGCTATAAAATGGTTCTGGGAAGGCTTTCCAGGTAAGGTGCAGTGAAGTGTCCTTCTCCTGTCCTGCTCCTGCTGCCTCTGTTCCATAGCCACAAGCTGAAGTTCCCAGAGGTGCTGCTGGGTAGCTTCTGCAGCAAGAGACTGCAAGGTTTCTTGTTAAGCAAACAGGTGAAACTGTGGAAGAAGTAAGCGAGTAATTGTAGCATTAGCATGAGAACTGCATTGTAGAAACCTTCCGTGTGCTAGGACTCATTAATTATTGTTAGATTTATTAGGATAACTTAAAATATCTGGCAGGCCTGAGCATTTCACCCGATTTCCAGTCTATTTTATAGAAAAGTAAAGGCAAGACTGCATAAAGAAACCTAAATACCACATCAGAAAAGGCTAATTCTGACATGGAAAGTGAAGGATATGAACATAGCCAATTTTTAAAACTTGCTCACCTGCTTGAAGTATTTAGATGAAGAGACTTTCTGGTGAAATGGCCCTGAGCACACCAAGTTCCACCAAGTCATTGTATGATTCCCACTCCTGGTGCTGCTGGGTGATGCCGCTTCCCAATGAGAAGTTACACATCAGTTCAGAAGTACCCAGGAGCAACCTGGAGCCGTGCTAGAAAGCTTCCCTGTGAGGCTCAGAGACTGATGAAACACTTCTCTGAAAGGGGGGGGTTAAAGCCTTTAGAAGACATGCCAGTAACAAGAAGTTGGAGTTAACCCCTGGCTCTCACTCTGAGCAGACAGCACTGTCCTAGCAGGTGGTGCAGGCACTACAGGAACAAATACTGGCATTTCGGTGTTATCCAAAGATTTATGGGGGTTTCATTGGGGTACCTACACCAGAGCTTGAGTTAAAGCAGAGTCCTGGGTTATGGCACCACTCTCACCAGCCAGCTCCCAGTTCTCTGATGTGGAAGTTGTAAAGACTGGGCCTATTCTCATCACCAGAACTCTGTCAAGGTTTATGGGTGAGATCTTTTCCTTTCTGGGAGAATCTACATGCCCTTTTTTCTATACATTATTTAAATTTCTTTGTGAGATATCTCCATCTCTCCAGTACTGATTGCTTATCTGCTTACCATGTGCAGTCATGCTGTTAGTGCACTGTATGCCAGCTGGGCATCTTTTGACTCTGCAGGTGGTGTGAGGTCCTTTATTGTTCTCCAAAAGCTCCTTTTCTATGCACTTAGTGGGTCTCCGGGAAAAATGAAGATTTAATTTTGGCCCAAGTCCTATGAAGCCTAGGTCAGACATATGTCCAAACACTCTCTTCTGTGGCCCATACTGTCTTCCCTGTAAGCTCTGGTCCAGATGATTGCAAAGGCTTTTGCTCAGTCCTGTGCATGTTCTCTCAGCATGCAGACTCTTTCCACAGACTGTGAATTATGGGCATAGCAACTCAATTATTTCAGGCTCTACCAAATGCCCAGTTCCCATACCTGTCCCTCATCACCAAATGCCAGATTTCATCTGTAGAAATGCAGAAACTAAATGCATATACTTAGAAGACTCAGCAGTACCTACCTGCCTCCTGCAGTTAAGTGGGAAAGCAGGTCCTATCACCTGAGGACACCAGAAGTAAGGGCAGCAGTGGGGCTCAGTAGCCTGCCAGGATGCAATTGCCAATTTCAGTTGCCATTTGTCAGCATCTATTGGCCTGCTGAAATTTCTGGAACTATAATAAAACCTAAGACTTTACTGTTAATATGTCTCAGCACAACATGGGGTAAATCTTTGATTCAGTAGAACAGTTAATTGCCAAGATGTCCTTCCAGGCATCTCCATATGCTGCCAAACCAGCCTGCCAGGCAGTGGAACCGGTGGCGTGATCAGATGGTGCTGTCATACCAAAATACATCCTGGTGCCTTTAACTGGAGTATTCCTGTCCTTGAGCAGCCCTTGCTTAGTGCAGGCAGACAGGGCTCTTCACTTACTGCCAAAATCCAAGGCTTTGCCTACCACATGAATATTTTTTCCTCCAGATTGTTTTGCGGTCCCCTAAAGCAAGACTGTTTCTAAAAGTTGATCTCCCACCTCAGCTGCCTCTGCATTTCACTCTGCGTCTGCATCCCAGAAGTCATCATGACAGGATGATGCAGGGATGCTCTATAGTCACTCTCCTTTTTTGTCTTCTTTTTTATCTACTCCTTTTGCATTTTGTGAAAATGGTGGACACTGATAAACAGTTGTCCAGGTCTGTCAGATACTCTCTGCAGTTCTGCAATGTGTCTACTCCTGTGACAAGATTTATATCAGGAGACAGAGTTACTTTTGTGACAGCAGATTTCTACAGCAGTGGAAGAAACAATCTTACTTCAGTTCCTTCCCCGAAATTCTTGTGCCTACTCCAATAAATCATATATTGTTACAGTTTCAGAATGGTAATTTTAGCTTCCACAATTTATATTTAAACTCACAGCTTTTCCTGGTGTCCCATCTGATCCCCCTGTTGCCACAGTGTTCACCATGATCCTGTTACTTCCAGTATGAGAATAGCAAAGCTGACAGTTTAACCATCTCTTGATGACTATCATGTTTCAAGGTGAGATGGAACTGCCTCTTTGTTCAGTACCTCAGTTTCAGGATTAACTGTACCATACCTAGAACGTACCATACCTAGATGTACCTACCATACATCTCTACCATACCTAGAATTACACAGAGGCAGCATTGACAGAACTTCCTATAGGTTTGGGACAATATCTGGCTTTATCCAGCATCTCCAAAGCAGCCTTCCACAACCACAGTCTCTTCAAGCGCGTGGTTCTCTGCTTGATCATTTGGTGACTTGAAACCACCAAAGTGATAGAAATGTTTCAACCAGCTATACAAGGGAGTGTCTTTTTTTTGTCAGCTTCTCTCCACCAAAACATTGGTGACATACAGCTTCTCAGGGGTTAACATGTAAGTATAAAGGCTGTGAATTTGCAAGGACATGTAGCTACCAAGAACGTTTTGTCGCTTGGAATGATTCACAAACCTGCATAATGTTTCTGAGATTGATTCAGGGAGGTGAGCCAAGTTCTGACTGACATCGTGGTGGCCAGGTGCTGCATAAACCACTTCAGCTGTGGAACTGGCACATTCACCCCAGAAATATGTCTTCGTAGTTCTTCTCCTAGCTCCACCAACTGCTCTAGCAGATCAGATGATATGCATGGGTTATTAAAACATAGCTCGGTAGGCAAAGTCTGTGCTGGTCATCAAGTTTCCAGGCACGGTATCGATCTTTTTGTAGGTTCATATACTGTAGACATGAGCAGGACACATCTGAGGTTCTGCACCACAGAAAGTTTCCTTCCTTTTACATACTTCCTGCTGCTCTGCAGTTTAATTCTGAACTCCACAGTATTTCTGAAGGATAAGAAAGCTCAGAAAAGATAGCTAGCAACACCTTCATTTATTTCTATCTAATCCGAGTGAGTTTTTTAAGTCAAAGTCTGATCATAAGAGTCAGTGTTTCCCTCAGTCTGGAGAAGATGGGGTTATTTTGCATCCAGATGCCCATGCTTTGCTGCATGGCTGTTGGTGGGAGGTTAAGAGCAACCAAAAGTAATTGATTTTCTGTTCTTCCACTGAAAGCAATACAGCTTTTTCTTCCCTTATTACTGTGGAGTTTGTGTGGGTACTTTTCAGTACAGGGATTAAGTTTGTTCTTTCGATTTTGTTTTTATTTTGGGATGTTCTGCCCAGTTAACTAAGGCACTTAAGGGATCTTAATGTGGTTCTGAGTAATAATTCTCCCACATTTGACCCCCTGGCAGCTTGTTTATTATTGTGCAGAATTTTTTTTCTCCTGATACTGGTTGCATCAACTGGAGGAGTTCAGGGACGGGGGGAAGGGTTTGATGCTGAATGTCTGTATACCATATTCATACAGACTGGCGCCCGTCCCAGGTTCTTACTCGAGTGGTTACAGCTTTCTGTTTGTAAGAATTATTTATTTGCTAGACAAATCACACACCTTGATTGTTTGTGGGGCCCTAACCTTAAATTTGAGAAGAACTAAGACCTCTTGGTCTTCTCTGAAAAACTTAATAGAATTGGCTGAGAAAGAAAGAGTAAAGTAATATTTACAGTAAAAACTGTTACTACCTCGTAGCTGGGTTTGATCTGTCACTTGAGCTCAGGGAATACTCCTCTCAGGGTTGGGTAACTTTGCCAACATCTCTTTTCATATGTTTATGAAACACATGCTCAAGGTTCAGTCATACTTTATTCTGATTCCATAAAAGCAACATAAAAGCATAATGCTTCATTTGACCGTCCTGTGCTATAGTCGTTATATCAGCCATATCCGAGAACACATTGCTTCGTGGCAAGTCACTGGTCATGAATCATCAAGAGTGGTGTAAATGTGGACAAGCAGTCAAAGATCAAATTTCTAATGTTATGATAGTGAAATTATTTGAACTGTAGTTCATACATATGCCATGACATCCTCTGGCTCATACTCCAGCAGAGACCTAAACTATTTTGATTATTTACTGCTGTTGTGGCTGGACTTGTGCACCTTTTGTGCCTTTATCATACCAAATAAAGACATCTAGGTCACACAAACCTTATTCTAAATTGCGCAGCTTCTGAAAGCGTTCTCATCTGGGTTTGGGGGGAGTGGGGACATTCACTCACCAAGGAGGGAAGCTGTGCGAGCAGCCCATCTTCAAGAATTGCAAAGGTGTGTATCTTCTTCTTAATGTCAGATGTTACAGAGATGCTCATATTCCTGAAAATAAAGTTCTATTTTGTGTCTTACCTTGGGCACTTGGATTTGAAAACGTCAGCTTTATTTTACCAAAATGACATTTCAAGTTTTCAAGTCCAAATAATTTATCTCATGTGCATCATAAATCTCTGGGGCTTTATGGTCCTTTCTCAGAACTTCTATGATATGGGATTTTCATTTCTATGCCTCTTTTTGATTTGAAATATCTACAGATCCCAAATTAAGATGTGAGAGGGACTGTAAAATTGATGGTAAATCTGGCTGTCTGAGATGAGTGAACAACATAGGACCCACGGGAAATAAAGACATCAAATTGGGAATATTTTTTTCTCTTGGGGAGAATCTTGGGTAGCAGAGAAATTAGTTCTGATATAATTGTTTCCTTCAGGGACCCTGCTAAGTGTCTTTTCTCAATACTTATGTTCACTGGTATCCAATAAACAAGAGATGTAGCATATTTGGATTTTAAAAGTTTATAAAACTTTCACAGAAGAAATTTAAAGCCACAAAAATTGTTAGATTGGGTCCAGATTTACTCCCTTGAAAATGATTGCAAACCTCTTGCTTGCCCCAACAGGAGAGAGGTTATTTCCATATTAAGCAATCAAGTACTCTTTTAATCAAGGTATCTTAAAATGGTAATTACTCAATCTTAATTATTTGTCAGAAGCACATAATTTTTATTTATATTATAATACTGTTTATTAGCACCATTAATAACTGAGCTATTTTGCTCTCTTTGGTACAGTTCTAACAGCAAAGTCCAAGGGCATTTTGGGTAAATTAGTATTTTAGGAGCATGTTCTGCCTACATTCCTCTTGAGTCCTCATAGACTCTGAAGATACAGCAAAAAACAGAGTCAAACTTCATGTTAGACTTGTAGAGCACTGTAAGGCATTACATGGTTCGTCCAGCGCTGTGATAAACGTTCTGTTCTGGTACCCCTTAGCTTCTGTGGACACAGGTATTCAGCATGTGTTAATGAATCTTGTGTCTTTACAGCGTTTATTCAGGACACCAGTCTATTTTGATTCCTCCCTCAGAACTGGAGACCAATCCTGCTCTGTGGCTTCTTGCTGTGAGTCAGTACAAAGTGAGAGACACTTTTTGTTCCTATTCGGTCATGGAGCTTTGTACTAAGGGACTCGGTTCACAAACAGAGTCGCTGAAGGTGAGTAATTCTGTCATCCTGCCCAACCTGCTGTCTGCCTGTGGTGTTTGAGAGCCTTCCCTGCCATGAACAGCTGTGCTAAATGTCTGCAGCAGGGAGAAAACCATCAGAGGGCAAGGGCAGCTTCCACAGAACCCATGTTATTCCTTGCCAAAGGCTATATATGAATATCAGTCATTCTCTTTCAGATCACAAGGCTTTTAAACATCAAGGAAAGGCTTTTATTTACCTAAGCTTTCTGATCTGTGTTGCAGCCTGTGTTCATAGGCAAGTATTGGAAAACAGAGGTGTAAACATCCGAGAGGCTTAAAGAGTATTACATTGTATATTATGTTTTATGAATTCCCTGATTATATGAAGTACTAGTTTGGTTTTGGCCCCTGCAGTTAAATAATCATGTACTTAAAAGTGCCGCATTGTTTTAACTGGGTTGTCCTCATTGTGTGGGGAGGGGTGGAGGTGTGTATCTTCTTTTTTTTTTCCCCCAGAATTACAATTCAGGTAGCCAGTGTTACATTTCTGAAATCATCTAGAATTTCCCTTATGCTACTGAAATAAATTAGATCTTGGGATACTGATCTTTATGATGTCTCCAGCCCCTACCATCCTCTCTTTATAATTTCCTAATCAGTTTTTCCAAGGCTAGACACTGCTTCCTGTTTGCTATTATTCACTGGCTATTATTCACTGGCTTTCCGAATTAATACTGGGAAATAGCATTCCCTCCTTCAGAATTAGCATACCCATCTCTTCCTCTGTGCTGATGTTGAGATGACAAGCAAGTATGTCTGCTCTTTCTACAGCTGTTAAACATCTGGCCATCCGGCCTCCAGGAAAGATGGAAATTACACTGTGGCATCGTAGCTTTTATTCCACTGTTCCTCTTGAATCGTAGTATCTGTGCAATACTTAAGGACTACTAACTGTTTTTCATTAAATCTGCTCATTTGTGGCCTTTGTTAACATTTTAACTTCTTTTTAGGCAAGGGGACTGGACCTTTCACGTGTACGGACATGTGTAGTAGTGGCTGAAGAACGACCTCGGATAGCTCTTACTCAGTCATTTTCAAAGTTATTTAAAGATCTTGGTCTCCATCCACGGGCTGTCAGTACGTCACTTGGCTGTAGAGTTAACCTGGCAATATGTTTACAGGTAAGATTTTTCACTCCTTAAGCTCAAAGTTGTTCTAAGAAAATGATTTTCAGTAAGAGCATTCATTGTGTTTCCTTTGGCTGCTTGGTGGTAGACATATTAAGAAAATGCACGTGATACTTAACGTTCTTGCATAGACAGGCGGTAAATTTCTGTTACCTTGTCGACTGTTCATCCCTCTCATGTTGCGATCATAGCATTTATTCTGCCCGCGAATACAGTAATTCAGAAAAGAGCATCGTAGTGACAGAGTGTACTCCAAAAGTAGTATTTAGTCATGTAACATGGAACCAGTTCCCTAGTGCTTACTTTAGTTTGCTACAAAATGGATTCCTTCTGTTTATGAAATAATTTCAACCATCACTTTAATTAACGAGATAGATATTTTCTGCACACGTTTTATTGCTTACAGTGGAAAATTATTTTGCTCCATATCTTTCATTCTGTTTTGATCCACTAATCAGAATAAAGTACCCAGGGATAATACAGGATTTAACTTGCATTTTCCAGGAATCTTGAGTCATGATTTTAAGGATAGACGGAACACTGTAGATATCTGGTCTGAATTTCGGAATAGCCTCTAGGTTTTCACTCAATGATGACTACACCCAGAAAATAATTTTAGGCTGAGTATTATTTTATCTTTCAGGACTTCGAGTGATGAAAGTTAACTTCCCTTTTTATAAGGTGTTCAATTTTAAATTAATTTTACCTTATTTCTATTTTAAATTTAGCTGGCATTAGATTCAGCCATTTTTTATTTTATTATATTTTTCTAATCTAGAATAAAGAATTTCATTTCTATCATGACTTTGATATGCATCTTAGTCTTTGATAAATAGATAAAAAATCTTAAGACATGATTTCCTGATCTGTATCTCAATTTTGTGATTCTTAATCTCTTTCTGTCCTTCCAGATCTGGTATCAGAACTTCACTTATTATTCCTTTAATAATGCCACAGGTGTCCTACTCAGATGTAATGTGATTTCTGACTTAATAATCTTTTTAAGTAATACTTTTTATTTAAATATTAGTATTAAAAAGCATTTAATACTAATATTTAGTATTAGATTTAGTATTAAAAATATCTTTTTAAATAAATCTTCTGCATTGACAGCTGCACTGGCTGGAAGTTCCATATCCGTTTGGTCACCTACCATGTCTCTGGCCTCTTCAAAGTCACCATCTTCCCAGGATAACTTGCCTGTACCATATATGGTGCATCCCACATTTCAAATCTGGCAGTTGCCCCTAGATTACAGTAAAGGATTTCTAATGCTTGTAACATGCATAATTGCTTAGGTGTGGAAGCCATAACAGATCTTCTCAGTGACACTATAAATAAGGCATTTGCTATTCTTTTCCTGATTGTAAATGTTAAGATTTTTTTATTTTATCCCAAAAAAATGTGACAAATACAGGTGATGAGTTCAGCACAGACCGATATGTCTGTGTGTTATGCCTGCAATAGCCTCTTGCCCTTTTCAACATCACTAAAGAATCTTGACTTTCATCAGACCTTGACTAAAAGTGACCTTGTAGTTCAGCATGTTACCAGAATATGAATACAGGAGGTATGCCACATCTGCAGTACTGCTTGCTTTCTCCCTGAGTACCAGCAGAGTATTGCTTCAGCCCAGGGTGACTTTAATTATTATTATTATTATCAAACATATGACAAGGCAAAGCTGAGCAGGGTATAAAGTCATTCTGTGTTTCCAAGGTAGGGTACTTTAGTTTGACATTCTATAATTGCTGACATAAATATTCTTCAGGAACAAAAGTTTAAGAAAATCTTCTCTAGTCTCAAAAGCAGCACTTGAATCCTTCAAAACAGTTTTACCCAAATAAAACTTAATAGATAGTCTTGAGAGAAAAATACATCTGGTAGGTTAAAAACTTCTATGAACTCAAGCAGCATCTTGCCCCATATTTGTGTCATGGATTTGATACAAAAAGTACTGACTGGGGGTTTGAAATCTGTTCTGCTGAATGTTTCTTCACAAGAATACAGTCCTCTCCATTTCTTTCTTCATATCTAGAGTTCTGGGTGATGACAAGGCAAAGAATACAACTGAGAAAACATCTAGGAAGTCTTGAGGCACTGCCACCTGAGGCAGCACAATTTGGATGGTACCAGTTCAGGCCAGTTAGCAGGTGCAGGCTGGTGTGCTTTCCCAGTGAGCAACCCAACCAAGCTTAGACACTTGGGAGGGGCACAGCAGGCAGCAGGGGCACTGGCAGCTTTCCCTGGAGTAGAAAGGGAAAAGAGAGCAGAAAGAGGTGAGCTGGTTACTTGGTAATGCTAGTTTTCTAATTTGCTCCTATATCTTAACCATTTTGAAGTGCCCATGGAATGTCTTTTACAGATGAGGGGAAGGAGGGAAGTGATGGCACACCTTCATGGCCAACTGCTGCGGCTTTCCCGATAGATCAGGATGGGGCCTGTGAGCTCCCCCCTGCAGCTGTAGTGGAGTTACTTCTGACAAATAACTGAACTTCTCTGGCTTCTGGTCCATGGAGGGACCAGACATGAAGGATGCTGTAGATAACAAGGGCAGATTAACTGCAGAAGTTTGCTTGACAGTAATGAAAATCTCCATTTCAGGCTTGCAGAGATCTCTGGACTGTTCGTGGTGACTGTTTAACTTATAAGTAAGTTGTTCAGGACAAATAATAGAACCAGGGAATGACACTAAGTAGCAGTAAGCCAAGTTCAATGCCCAGGTATGCCTCGCTGGAACTAATATTGTACTGGATCTGCCTGGGATGGAGTTAACTTTTTTCATAGCAGCCTGTATGGAGCTGTGTTTTGGATTTGTGACTGAAACAGTGTTGATACACAACAGCAGTTCAGCTATGGCTGAACAGTGCTGCACAGCGTTAAGGCTTTCCCTGTTTCTCACTCTGGCCACCACCCCACTATCCCCACCAAACAGACTGGCAGGGGAGCAAGAGGCTGGGAGGGAACACAGCCGGGACAGCTGACCCCAGCTGACCTGGGATATCCCATGCCATGTAATGTCATGCTCAGCAGAAAAAAAGGAGGGGATGGTCTTCCAAAGTAGCCATTGCTCAGAGCCTGGTGGGGCATCATTCTGCTTGTGGGAGGTGGTGAGTGATTGCTTTTGCACCACCTCAGGAATTTTCTCTTTCCTTCACTTTTTAGACTGTCTTCATCTCAACCTACTGGTTTGCTCACATTTGCTTTTCCTGTTCTCTCCCCTGTCCCACTGGAATGGGACTGAGCGAGTGACTGGGTGGGTGCTTAGCTGCTCTCTGGGTCAGCCCGCTACAAATGTGCAGGGAAGCAGAACACACTCGGAGAAACTGTAAACCCTGATCAGCATGGAGTTAGGCTGGATTTTTGCTTGACTATGTATATCTGCCTTTTGGTTGTGTTAACTCCTTAGCTGAAGTTTGCTTCTTAGATGGTTTTGCAGAAATTCTTGAAAGAGTTACTGAATCAAAGTGCAAAAGTGGATAACTCTCTAAAGAAATATTATTAATGATACTGACTATAAATTAAAGAACAGCACAGAATGAGAGCCTTGAGTGAGGTGATTAACAGCCTGGCTGATCATATAGCTTAGTGTCAGGCTTCATTGAGTTCTACTAAGATGTTGCATCTCAGTCCATAGGACAAACTAAAAGCCGTACACTGTCTGGTGTGCTGTGGAGAAAAGCCATTTCAGAAGACTATATTTAGTAATGTTGCTATTCCAAGTGGAATGGTTTTTGAAGCATTTAAGCTGAGGGTGGTTTGGCAAGTTTTAAAGGGGTTTGAAAAATTACTAAAGATGTTACTTACAAGCATCACCGCAAAACATGTCATTTTGATAGAGACTCTAAAGACAGGGTTGCATCCTTTGAAGCATCTGGCAGTAGACGCTGCCAAAGACTGGATACTGAATTAGACTGAATGGTTTTACCAACTGTCTGGAAGTTTATGGCTAGTGATATTCTGGAATAGCTTGTAGGCTGTTCTGTTTTCTGGGCTAAGGACCAGAATGAATTTTAATCCTTGGTCAACAATGTTCCTGAAATTAGCATTGTCTCCAGTATGTTGCAGAAATGGGTCATGATTTCTGGATCCTTCACGTTGCATAAAAATACTTCTAAAGATGTTTGAGTCAATAGCATCTGCCTTTGCTTTTTTTCTTCCAAGTTGTATCATCTGTGAGATCAGTGTATCAACATCTTCCACAGGAATAACTCTGATCCAGCCTATTCTATGGTCTTTCAAAAATATCTGTCTACTGATCTGATCTGATCACCTTTCTAAACATACCTCAGTATTCAGCTATTGACCTTACCAGCAAAAAGGCTATCCAGGCTTTTTTCTCTATGGACTGCCTCTAACACAGTTTGGATGTGATCTTTGATACCTGCTTCACTTCATTTCCAATTTTTTTTTTTACAAATTTGAGACTCAACTGTTTCAAGGGGAAGGTATCTTAATTTTTCAAAAAAGCTTTTAATATTGTTGCACCTTCCAAAAAGAAAAGGTGTGTGTACATGTATGTGTGTGTCTGTGTATCTTAAAAACTCCATAACAGAATTTGACCTTTTATTAAAGATTACTTTAAAAAGCAAATCATTGTGATAATCCCTTTGGTACAAAAGAACCTTAGCCTACCAAATGATCTTAATTTCCAGATTACGATCACTGACAGACTAATGAATTGTCATTTGTATTCATTTCCTCTCAGATTTAGAGCAAATTTACTATGTTTCTTTTGATGTAATCATTTTGCTCTAGATTTTGAGAGATGTGCTTTTGAAAATAAATAATTCTCTCCATATTTAGGCACTTAAATACCATTAATATTTGACCTTTTATAGCTGCATAATAGCAGATAATGGTCCAGGGATTTCAGAGATTAAAAGATTGCATCCAGCATATTTTAATTCTCATTAACTAGTATCTTAGCATTCTCAAGAGAAAGAGAAAAAGAGATGTGAGAAGCAACTTGTTTCTCAACAACAGCATAGATGGTTCTCTAGGATTTTAGCTAATTTCCTTTTAAACACTTGAAATAAATGTTTTCATTCTGTTCAACCTGCTACTCAATTTCAGTTGAGGAAAAACTTCTAGAAGTTGTTTATTTTCCTTAGTTAAAGCTGAAAAAGTACTAACAAATCTACCACAGCTAGGGCAGGAAAGTAGGATTTATCTTGCTTCTTTTTTCACCTCAAAGTGAGACAGCACCGTTAAGTGAGTTATCCAATATCCATCTGTAGTCAGTAGAATCAGACATGCTTCAAGAGAGAGCTTCATTCAGCCTATCTCAGGTGCCTGTTTTGGGATGGGATTCATCACCGTCAGGAGATACTTCCTACCTTATACAGCACACTTTCTTCTTTGATGGCTGAAGTTATATGAAGTTAATCCTTCCCTCACTGTCTCGCAAAGGGAACTTTGTTAGTAAATTTAGGGCTTAACATTAATGTTTCTTTTTACTTAGTGATAGATCACACTTTCTGAGGGTCTTCCATATTATAAATAATAAGGGATAGTTCTGCAAAGAGTGCCACAGGAGACCGTGCACTTTATCAGAGGTATGATTCACACTTGGCAATGTAGAACAGCTCTGGGTGAGTTCCCTCAGATTCTGTGTTTTCCCACCTTTACTATGAGTCATGCCATGAAGTTCTTTTCACAGCTCCAGCTGCTGTGCTTGCGTACGTGAGATTGTTAAGTGTACATCAGAAATTCCATTTCTGAGCATCACTGGAGCACAAGTAAACTCACAGTAAACATTGAGGCCACATCCTTAGACAGCAAAACAAAACAAACCCAAGCCAACAGTTATTTTTAAATTCTTTGGACTTCTGATTGCCTAGTTCCTGGTTTTTAACTCTGAGGAGGGAAGCAGAGGAGAACATGCAGCTTGGCCTTTGACTTCAATGGAAATTAGGTACAGGCTGAGTGCTGGCACATCGTCATCCCTATTGCTGACTTGTTGGGGTAGTCCTCCATGCAATTTTGTCGTGCAGTGTTTTGCCAGAGAATAAAAACCTGGCACCTTGCAGATGTTTGCATGGACCAGGGATGTTTCACTGTTGGCAGCCTATGGATGGGCAGGGGATTTATATAGTTCATAGAATCATAGAATCATAGAATGGTTTGGTTTGGAAGGGACCTTAAAGATCATCCAGTTCCAACCCCCCTGCCATCAGCAGGGACACCTTCCACTAGACCAGGTTGCTCAAAGCCTCATCCAGCCTGGCCTTGAACACTTCCAGGGAGGGGGCATCCACAACTTCCTTGGGCAACCTGTTCCAGTGTCTGACCACCCTCACAGTGAAGAATTTCTTCCTAATATCTCATCTAAACCTCCCCTCTTTCAGTTTAAACCCATTTCCCCTGGTTTTGTCATTAACTGCCCTTATGAAAAGTCCTTCCCCAGCTTTCTTGTACCCCCTTCAGGAATTGGAAGGTTGCTATAAGATCTACCCGGAGCCTTCTCTTCTCCAGGCTGAACAGCCCCAACTCTTTCAGCCTGTTCAAGGGGTGTGACTTAGGGTGTACCTCTTTTCAGACAGAAAATGGTGTTTGGCCCATTTTATTTCCTTGAACACTACCTAGCCTGTCCTCAGTAAGTATCAAATGTAACAGAATTCTTGTTGGTTTTTTCCTGTTACCAGCATTACAGATGCTCTCTATCTCTGTCTTGCAAAATAAATGTGCACAGACAAATTGAGTCAGTCACTCTGGTCTTGACTAAGACTCTGCTTCTTTATAAACCCTTTCAGAGTGTCTCAGCTGCAGCTGGCCACAGAAGGAGGATGCTGAGACTTCAACTACTGTTTCTCAAGCCCTTCCTTACTGAAAAGCCATATGAGGCTCTTATACTCTCAAAGTCCTCTCTGGACCTACAGTGTAGTCACAGGCAATGAATTATATAACTGATGGATTTCAGCAATTCTCCTGCTTCCTTGCAGTTAGATTGCAGTGTTTAACTTGGATTATTAGTAATGCTTCTATTTTCAGGCAGCAGTGTAATAAGCAGATCCATCCTATTTTTTTAATGCTTCATCTTCCCCCGCATCCCAAATAAACCTATTTTAAGATGCTGCTGTGGCAACTTCCTGTAATCTTTTAACTTTGCTGGAATTCATAAGTTTGATGAGAGGAATGTGGGACGCCAGTGCTCTCAGAGGTGTTTTATTTTCACAAGTTGTAGGGCCCAGGTCCCACTGCAGCCATCTGGTGTTAGATGCTCCAGTGACAGTAGTGACTTAGGACTAGTCACCACTGTGCTTTGTCTCTGATGCGTTATCCATTGTGGTGGAGAACTGATGGGTTTTATCAGCTTTTAATTTTACTGTTCTTTATACATATTACACTGTTTATCATAGCAAATGAAGAATGAAGAATGATTGAACTTTGAAGTTACTCCTTTTAGTTATGGTCTTCTAGTAATTAGGCTGTGCACAAAGCACAACCTAATTTTATTTCACTTTAGGAGCAGATTAATCTGTATGAAACAAGGTGTAAGTATCTTTCTCCTTTGTATACTAATTTTTTTTTTTCCAAAAAGAGAGCTTACTTTTGATTTTCAGAGGACATCGCTTACAGACTTACTTTAGTAGTGAAATGGCAGACCTGGAACCCTTGTCTTCATGGATGTGCATTTAAATAGCAGGGCCATAGTGTTTACTGACTTCTTCACCAAAAACAAAAAACAAAATCAGTATGCTAGACACATGTTTTCCACTAACAACATTGTCTGTAGTGTCCTAAAACCATTTAAGTCTGTTTGTCCAAGGTTAGCAGTCTACAGCTGTCTCTTCTGTTGCTCTACTAAAATGTTGACACCTCATTTTTTACTTTTTTTAACCTTTAATGGTATAATGGTTAATTTGTAAGATTCCTGTATTTGACATTGTTTTTCTTTTTATTTTACTCCCTGCTTTTTGCATTCTCCTCTTTTTTTTTTTTTCTCCCACCCTTCATTCCCATTTTTTTATTATTATTTTTGTCTTGTGTTACCTTCTTTCCTTCTCTTCCACATCCCTGCTATCCCTGCTGCTAGAGCCGCACAGGCTGGGGAAGCTGGCCGAGCAGGTAGGGGATTTTCATGTTCCCTCAATACCCACCTATCAGCTTCCAACAGTGGGACAGACTAGAAATTGAGTCTGGAGATTTGGGGATTTTCAGATCCTTCTATGAAATTATAAACAAGTCCAGTATAGCTTTATTTGGATGCAGGTTTCATCAAATATTAGCTCTCTGTTGTAACTGTTTCATTCATGCTGAAAATAACAAATACCATAGTGATTGCCTTTGATTTTCAAACTTGACTGTTTCCATTATTTTATCAATGAATTAAGGTTTAGTTTTATTTGTAAAGATAACCAATTTTTCCTTGATTTTGTTTTTTTTTTCTAACATTGCATATATTTCAAATAAGTTCTCCACTCAGCACTAGTCTGTTACACTGCTGAGTTTACTAGTAGACTGAAAATCGTGTCATTAATAGCTAGAGAGGATATTGTATCTTGTATTGTGTATAACAAGCTAAAGAGGCTAACATGCATGTGCAGCTCTATTACTCTTTTTCTCCTCTGGTGGTGGGTCACTATCAGTATCCGTAAAGTATCAATTGGTAGTGGTAACTCTTTTCCCCTTTAAATATAGAAATTGTCTATTTGTGGAACTCCTTCACAATTTTTAGTGCTCAACACATTGTGGAACTACCAACCAACATTGCAGAAATGCAAAATTTAGCCCTAGATATTCCTAATGTGAAGAATTACACTCTATAATATATCCCAAATGGGACAGAAATCATTGGGGTTGATGTTGCCTGCTGGTTTACGTAGTAAATATCTAAATAACTGATAAAGGAGTTCCTACACCTGTAGATTGCTCAGGTTAGGTGAATTTATCTGCTGAAAATAAAATTTCCAAAGTTCCAGTGTTCCTAAATTAAGTTGTGCTTTCCTTTTAGCTTTCTGCTTAATAATGACGTGAGATATGCAGCAGAGAAAAGAGCCCTCGACTAGAGCATTGACAATTCACATGATGTTCAGTGGTGATGAGTTTGAAGTTTCAGATAAGGGAAGATCACAGCAGGTTACAAAACTGCAGCAAAGCTGTGGGTGGAAGGGCCTAAAAAACTGTATCATCTCTACATGAAAGGAAACTAAAATTAGTCTACTGCTTTTCAAGTAACTCAATATTGTGACATAAAAAAAGGATTCAAATTATGCAGTGGAAGTCTGAAAAGGAAAAGGAACAGAATAATTGCTTACAGACCTTCAGTCCACATTGGTTCATGTCATGCGTGCTACCTTTACTATCTTTAGCTTCAAGTATATTCTCTGTTGCATGTATGGAAGACTCTCAGTAAACCATGCTTCACATTCCTGACCATGTGCTTCTGCCATTAAACTGTGTTTCCTCAGCAATTTCTGCATTCCTTTATATGGCAAAACTTGTTTAACATTTTTTTTATGTATCCACGTGCTGATTACTTGGCCTTTTGGAGCAAATAAAAACTATGTTGACATGTGTTTGGTTAAGTAGTATGGCCGCTTGATGTTGTTCCAAACCCCAAGGTAACAAGTACTTGACGGTAGGTATGTTTTCCAGTGCTCTTTCTGATTCTGTAAAGCTGGGCTTTGTTTGATGAACAGCTTAAATATAACTTGTCATTTGATTAGCATAATTAGCAGTGAAATGAACATTCGGTTATTTGGGGGGTAAAACTCTTTTCTCCTCCCAGCCTTCAGGTTCTGATTAGCTGATGTTGTTGTTTACAGGGAACATCTGGACCAGATCCCACCACAGTGTATGTTGATATGAGGGCACTGAGGCACGACAGGTCAGAACCACCTTTTTCTTTTTTCTCTACACGCAATTAAGAGTTTCTAGAAAGAGAGGGACTTCAGCACACCTCCTGGTCCCTGAAGATCTTTGTTATCCTCATAAATAATTTGTACTGACTCCTAACAGCGAGCAGACATAGACATCTTTTGTTAGTTAGTTAATTTTTCCATTGATAGAACTGAAGCATCTGACATAGCGATTGCAAAGACTAACAAAATTCCCTGCTTTTACTGCATTCAGGGTTTCATGACAATTGTTTCAGGTGGTGCAGCCAACCGGCTCCTAAGAAATGGAGTCCCGTTGGGCCTCTTAGCTTCACAGAGGTGTTTCTCCTGGCTTGGCAACTGTTAGCCTGTGGGGAGACCATGAGGGGATTTTGTTGTAATTCTTAATGCTGCAGCACTACGCTGCAGGACAGTGATTATTGACTTCAGTTGTTGTGAGCAACCACATTCTGTAACTGAGCATTTTCTAGTCCTGACTGTAGTGTTAGATACATATACAAAAAGTGAGAGCTAAAATTTACCACTAGTGGTATTAAGGAGATGTCAGAAATCTTCTAGTTGGAGGGAAACTTGCTATTTTCTGTGTAATTTTAGAAAATACCCATGCACATATATTTCAGTTTTCCAGTACTCTGGTCAAAAGCCTAGCAGGTAGTATATTTACAAAATTTTAACAAAACAAAAAGTTTTCTATTAAGCCTGGAAAAGATTAACACGTAATTGACAGTGTACACCAGCCCTGGTACCTTAAAAAAGTCATTATCCAAATAGGGCTTTTTTTTTCCTTTTTGTTTTGTTTTGTTCTTTTTCTTTCATCCTTCTTAAAAGCTTAACAGAGAATTTGTTCCCCTTAGGTGACTACCAGCTTTGACTATATGAAAGTGACTGGCTCAGCTTGCAGGGTGTAGACCTCAGGGCGCTGCAGGCCCAAATTATCCTCTAGATAGTTAAGTCAGATACGAATATAGGTATTTTCTTGTAGCACATGGAGTTTGGCAGGTAGAAGAAAGGAACTGCAATATACTTGACTCTCTCACCATTTCTTTATTCCTTTTGCACACATTACCAACAATAATGCTTGTGTTTGATCTGTCCTTTGGGATACTACTGTCTGCATGACCAAGCCATAGAAAACTTGGTCTCCCTGGCCCAACAGCTGTGGTACTGTGTAGACACGGTCCATACTGATACTCAACCCAGCAAAAAAAAGGCCTTTTTTAAAGAAAAAAACAGTGTTACTGTTCTTTGAGCTTACCCTCTCGGCATTGCACTTTTGAAAGGAGACTTACTTGAGAAGTTGAATGATTTATGTCATAAAAAAGAAATGAGAAGTGGAGCATTTCTTTACTAAAAGCAGAGCAAACGCTGTGACCAGGACAGATCCCATCCAGCCTAAAGTGGTCTCCTAGGCTCCTGCAGTCACTGGGCAGGCACACACACCACCAGTGTATTGCAGCTATCTCAGACATGCATCAGCACGGGATGAATTGACTTTTGAGAGACCCTTCTTTCTGTATTGATGAGGCAGGAAGCTTACATGACTCACTTTGGAAATCAAATGTTTATTTTTTTAATAGACACGGTAAGCTGAGACTTATTTAAGCGCAGTGTTTACTCATCTTAGAGCTCTGAAATGGCTGAGGTTAAGTTGAACACAATGTAGATAAACACATGTAAGCATCATTCAAATGCAGGAGAAAGAGCTAATGAATCATTAAAATTAAGTTATAGCTATAAAGGGGAAAGAAAGAAAACAAATGTAGATTAATTCCTTATTTGGAATTATTTTTTCTGAGAGGAGAAAGACATTTATAGAATATTCATTGGAAGGGAAGTATATAGAAACAAATATACTTAGAAAGAGAACATAACATTCACAGTTAGTTAGTAAAAATTATAAACAATAAAAATAAATTTGTATATAATTATATAAAGGAAATAAGATTTACTGTTCATAAAAGCTGCATAAACCATTGGTATACTATTTCCCTGCCGTAGTGTGTCATTGAGAAGTAGGCATCATTATCTAGATCAGACTTTGCAGTGTATTAATTTATATTTAGTGACTAATTCTACAGAACATGAAAGATGATCTTCAGAGCTGGCTTCTCAGATTGAGGTAATGTAGATTTTAATTTGATGGATTAAAGCTGTGCCTCATTTACTCAATCCTGTGGAATTTAGACTTAGATTCATGGGTCATAAATTAGGGGAGAAAACAACTTTATTTGACATAGTCTCTTCACACTTTCTGTTTTTAACCATTTTAGTGGAACTAAATGTCACTGTTGCTCAACGGTAACTGAAAGATTGCTATACGTAGCTGTGAGACCGTGTAGTAACAACCCACCAAGTCTTTGCAGGTCAGCCAGTACCTCAATAATATGAAAACATTACACTGTACACTTAACGCAAGAATTTTTTTTCATATTTTCTATTTTAGAAGATAAGTTTCTGGAGTTTGAAAAAGACTGAACAATTTTTATTTTTTATTTCAGAAAGCAGCTGAGGTTCATCTTGAGATTTTTCAAATCCTATTCACATCTATAAAAATTAATAATCAGTTTGAATACAACTATTTCAAGCTCATCCGGTAATTATGTGCTTGCACACTTGACAGCTTATGAAAATGTCGTTATTTGACAGGAGTTTAGATCAAAATACCTGTGCTATATATATTTTGGGTAGAAATCTAGGGATGGTTGGTCAACCAAACTAGACCTTTCCTCCCAGCTTACACTGGATTTGGATGATTTGCTTCTTAGGTCAGGTTGGAAGTTCTCAAACACATTTTTGTGTGTGCCTCTGTGTGGTTTTGAGTTTAGCTGCTGGGACTCCAGCTCTGGCCATAGTTGCCAGCTGAGGGAAATGATGGGACTGGGCTCACCTGTGCCAAGGTGTGCAACCACTCAGTCAGTGGCTGGCGTCAGTTATAATACTGGAGAAAGGCTTGACTGCCCAGCTATGAGCATCTAGTGCAGCTTCAGATGCTACAGCTACTCCAGGAGGGTCTCCCATGGAGCTCACATTGTATTTGCTAACACTGGTGAGATGTCCCAGGCACCCTGTGCTGTCTCAAATGACATTAGACACCTCTTTCTGGAAACTGAGTAACATCCTAATAGCAATAGTATACAGCCCTGGCTTGTTCTTGGTGATAATACGTCAATATTGTTGTACTTGGCATCTCATTGATTTTCTAAAAAATCAGACAGTCCTCCAGATAGCCAAGAAAGAGTGAGCAAAGACAGGCAAGTCCCCTGGTCTGTTTAATAAAAAACCAGAAGTCTGCTGAGTTAGCACCAAGTGGCTGATATGCCCCTGCACTGCAGCACAGTGCAGTTTAGAGAGGTTAACTCAGAACCAAAAGGCCAAATAGGTGGATGAATGCTTCACCGCGCATGAGCTGGCCGCGCGGCAGGCTGCGCTGGCACGGCACGGCACGGCACAGCATGGCTGGTCCCGGCACGGCTGGTCCCAGGTCCCAGCACAGCTGGTCCCAGCTGCTGACTCACTGGGTGACTCAGGTCATGCAGATGTGCCCACTCCAGGCATGAGCACCCTGTCAGGGCATTGACTGTGTTTCTCTGCTGCTGCCTCTGGGAAAACAACTTTATGCCCCTCCTCAAAACCAAGAAAAACAAATAGAATAAATATGTTCATATTCTTGTCCCGCTGTCTAAACTGCTGGTTTTCAGATCACTCCATCGTCATTTTAGACCAGTCATGTTCTCCTCAGAAAGCTTTCAGGTGGTTAAACACAAGATACCTAAATATGGTAGAAGCTGAGAAGCACTCGGAAGATAAAAAAGAGAGAGAACATTTTCTCATCATACCAAAACACCTTATACTTGAAAGATGTTGGCTTTTATAACACTTAACATGCTTTTCTGTCAGTAAAGATGTACATTTAAAGCCCAAGCATCCCTTTTATCCACAGTGTTCTAAAACAATATGCACATGAGTTTATAAAATTAGAAATGTCCAACAAAAAATACATCTCCGGTATTAACATAAAAATTTAATTTCACAGCCTCCGCACCCTTAACAGCAGGTTAGCTCTTGGTAGGAAAAATGCTTATTGGCAAAACAGGAATAGACTTCATGTGTATTCCAAAATAAATCTTCCTTTGTCATAGACAGGGCAAAAATATTTTTAAGTGTTTTTCAGGAAGTCAGACTAGATTTTCAAATTTTTCAATACATTTGCAAATATTCTGAACCGTATTTTTTTTAGAGTCATTTAAAGCTGTTTTCAAAATGTTATTGTTTTAACCTGCTAGTTTAAATGTTGAAATTACCTTAAATTTGAAACTAAGCTGGTACGAATAAGAAATAAAATCTGAAAATGTTAAAATATTTTTACTGCTTTGAATTTTTTTAAAAAAATATAACATAGGAATTTTTTTTTCTGCATTTCTGTATCTTTCTTATTTAAAATGTTGTTTAGAGGATTTCTTCAAAGTTTTAGTAAGCTGATGAATCCATCTGGTGATGGCTGAGGAAGATCACTGATCTTCTCCTAAAGCTGAAACTTCCTGCAAATCCTGTAAAGATAAGCATCCTCTTGTATCCTGATAGCCTCCTCTGTAGCAAGACCTTATCCATAAAGAAAAAAAGATTATGAAAATCACTGCCCTGCCCTAAGTGGGACAAGGAAAGATTTACTTTGATATTGGAGTTTATTTTAAAAGGACAAAAAAGTAAAAGGAACAAATGCAATGCAATCCATGTCTTGCCTCCGAAAGCAGGTAATAATGTCACCGGTGTTCTTGTTCAGCAGCAGGTAGTGATAACTTAGGAGCTCTGATGGAGTGGAGTCTTAGAATTCTAGGAGGAGAGAGCCACTAATCAAGTCTCATATGTACTAATGAAGATTTTTATACCATTTTGCATGTAAACTTGAAATAGTTTCCCCTTATTTTGACTAGAAATTGTATCTAAGCAGATTATTGAACTACATCTATATTTTGTACCAAACTGGGCAAGA